TATCAGCAGACCTGGTAATGGCTACTGTTGATGGTGCTCAAGTGTTTCTCAAAATATTTGTTAAGCTAATTTTGATTGTGCAGACTCATGAAACTCTTCTGAAGCATTTATTTCATTGTGAGTTCTCTTTAAATTTTTTTCCTATCATGGATAAATGTGCCGATTTTCTTGAATTTAAGCCATCTCTCCTAAGATGATGGAAATTATTATTATTATTTTTTTATTTTTTTTCATTTCATTGAACTTTTCGGCAAGTACAATGGTCATTAAGTTAATAGAATTATTTTATTTTCATTAATTGATTACAAATGATAAAAGGAAAAACAATATGCTAATTCATTGTTAGAGTTCTTCAGCAGAATATACGAACTAAGGATGCATATTTAAGTCCACAGTGTTTTCTGCATTGATTTGGAATCAACTCTAATTGTTTTCATTTATTTCTTTATAACTTATTCATTTGTCAGAGATTAATTTGAGATCAAAATAAAGTAGTCTATCTTCTTATTTTACTTTCAATGACTTACTTGTTCGAAGATTTAGTTTTTGTTTCTGATATTATTTTGATTGGTTCATGGGAGAACCAACCAATGAGATGGGCAATGAGGTTGAGGGTGGCTTTATATTTAGCACAGCACTGGGCTATTGCAATAGTAAAGGCCGAGCACTATATCACGATCGCAATAGTTACAGAGTGTTGTATGATCAAGTACTTCAATTCGCTTATTATTTTCCAAGTATTGTCCACTAGAAATTTATAATTACTTTTCTATTGTCCACTACTAACTTTTTGTCAGCATCTGCCAGGATGGTAATCCCAAGCTTTCACGCTTTAGACTAATGAAGAACAGCAAGGACGGAAAAGAATACAATGCAAACTTGGCTTTTCTTAGTTTTCCTTTGGCTCTAGAATATTTATTTTCTTGTATGCTTAGTTGGATCTAGGATGGGTAATTATGTCTATGAACATTTACCCACCTATTTTATTACAAATTAGGTCCGTCACAAATCACACTGTAAAACCTCTTACTGGAAATAAAATACTCAATAAGATTTGTAGAATGATTTGATCAACCTTCTGATTTGAAAGTCAATGAGAGATAATCAGCAGAGCACTGTTGAGTTCCCCAAGGATAATCCAATACCAAGTGTGAAAGCTCTAGCGTTCTACAAATCTAGCACTTTCATGGTTGATGTTCAATATGCTGATGTGAGTGAATTGAAGGCACCAATAAAAATATCACTTACACGATAGTTTATTTGTGCATTTTAGTCAATTATGTCCTTGAATATATTATTGTTCGTTTGAAAATCATTCTATTTATGCTATTTTCCTATCCGAGGTACAGATTGGACCTTTCTATTCCACAAAACGTTAACTGGCAAAATTGAAGATCAAAGTACGCTTAAATCTGCATGGTATTATTTTGTTTGAATTGGCAACTGTAAGTCTCTCTGTGTAGAACTATTTGAAGTGTTCTGTTGAATATTTTCTGAACTATAACGGCCCTGTTGGAATATAAATCAGCTCTTGGAAAAGGAGGTGGTGTAAGTGTTATGCCCCAAGTCCAATCAACTTTGGACATAAACACTTTTAATATATAATTGATGCATATTTATGGTAAGATCTATTATTTAATTGAGTTAATATTTTAATAAATTAAATAATAGAATCTGTAAATTCAAGGCTTTATAATTTATTAA